ATGCATCAGAATAAAATTTTGATTGTAAACAACTAAATAACAATATTCGAAATAAAAATGAATCCGAATATATGAATATAATTTACCTGCATTTTGTATCTAATTCAATATAGATATATTCTTGATTATTAGCTTTGTCTTCTGAAAAAAAAAAAGACAAAATAAAACCATATGGAATGAATAATTTTGTACTTTCTCTTACTTTGGTGAAATTTGAATCGTCTTTGTTTCATAGCGTGTTTTTAGTCCTGTGGGAAGAATGCGAATGTGCGTGTGTCGGTGAAGTAGAAAAAATGAATGAATGAATGCAATGTGTGATTGTGTTCGTGCTCGTTCACTTCTTATTTTTTTTCTTCTTTCTTTCTGCCCTTTCTCTTTCTCTTTGAGAAGAATTAATTGATAACCAATGAATATGACTTACTTTTACGTTTTTTTATCCAATAAAAAAATGTTGAATTTTGCGGTCGACGATGCCCTTTCTATTCTCTGTTGACTCTCGCGGTTGGGCTAATATGTGTATGTGTCCGCTTCTAGCTCATGTCTCTCGCATACATCTAAGTAATGGGACGAGACGAACGCGGACAGAGAAAAAAAAAGAAAAAGAAGGAAAGAAGGAAAAAAAGCCTTGTCTGTTTGCACATTTGATCTTGAAGGGAGAAAAAAAGAAAAGAACGGTAGAAACACGAATGACTTCGGACTCTTGTTTTTTTCTTATGACTTTTGTCTGGGATTAAAAACCGACTAATGATGATTAATATTAAGATATAACAGATGTTTTATCCTATCCGTTGATTGTTCAATATCAGTTGATTTTGACAATATGAAGCAAAATTTATGAGTCTCAATAGACCGATGAACTGAATGTCATCATAAAGACGAGATAAATGCTTATTCTAATGATTAAATCGGTTAGATTTACTGGCGAAAATAGATCCCGAGGCTATAGCGTCTGTTTTTTTTGTCATATCCGAAGAGTCAATTGTCAAATAATGGACATGTAAAAGATGACCTTTCATCATTATAGATTTCGTGCATATAAATAATCTAACACTTATCATTATGTCATTATATCAAAGCTGTTAAGTTTTTCTATACTAAAAAGCAAAAAATCAATAGAAGTCTATCAAAAATGATAATTCTATCGCTATTTAATTACAATTCAGCATATGAATATCTATAAAAAACGTCACTTCAGCAAATTCTATTATATATTTTAAAAAATTTGAATAAAATCTGCTACATACATATACTTAGAATACAGAGAACTGCCGTCACAAGGGTATCGGAGTCGATCGACCGGAAGAATGTGGGTGATATGACATTCATCTAATCATCGAAAATGTCCGTTCTTTTTTCTTAGCGCAGCCTAGAAAATTTTATCCATTTGCGTTCTATTGTAAAAAAAAAAAGAGCAATTTGTCTTTGCAAAAAAATAACACTCTTGTCTAATTTGTGATGCCTCAAGGTAAAACTGGATAAATACGTACTATATACAGCGAACAATGACGAGTTTAGACGGTGAGTGCAAAATTCCTTCTCTAATCATGATCACCGCTACCTCTTTGCTGAAACACCCAACATTACTGAAAATTATCTTAAATATGAGTGTCTCATGAAAACAATTATTTTAAATTCCACTTCGCAATAGACGACCTCCGTTTATTAACTAACAAACTCTTCTAAAATTCTTAAAATCATTTTGGTTTTCTGAAAAACCTTTTTAATCAAAAATTATGAACATAAATGGAACGCAATGGAAGATTCTTCCTGAAAACTTTGTACGCTTTTGCACGACAGAAAATTTTGGTTCTTCTATTGCGTGGAGGAATTTAATGTGAATTCATTCTTCGCTTTTAAAATTTCGATTCGTTTATATAGTAAACCATGCTTAGATCATTCGAAAACAACGTTGAATATTTCTACAAAATCTATTTCTCTATATTAATAATCATCGTTAAAGTTAACTGTTCATCTATCAAGAAGAGAGAAAAAAATATTTCTATTTTAACTAAATATACTATTATCACTTGAAGATGTCAAACATGATAAATGACTATTTTCTTTGCGTATTGTGTGATAGACATCAAATAATATATACTTTTGTAAATATTGTTTATTGGCTTCATAGCTCATGACACTCGTATTGTTTGATTGCCAAGAGAATATCATACAAAGTAAAAGTTTTCTTTGCTAATCAATATGAGAATCAAATTTGATTCTTTATATATTCAATAGTGAGAAAACAGGAGAATAGAAGTCGTTAAAGACTTCAAAGTCTAACGAAAAAAAAACAATGATACAGATCATTGATCATTAAAGACATTTCAAAAAATGTTATTCATAGTGTGAATAGATTAATTATTTTTCGTGATAAAAAAAATTAGAATATAAATATAGGTGTTTGAACTATTTTGAAAAAAAGAAATTTAACACTGAATCGTTCAGTAGACTCAGTGTGAAGTGATCTGAATAATAATTATTTTCTTTTTTTCTTCTTCATTGTAGACATTCCATTGGATAGTAACAAAAAAGGAACCAATGATTGAAAATGTTCAGCTGAATAACGAAGAACAAGAAAAGGAAGAAAATATTAAAACAAGTAAAAGAACAATATTTTTTCTTTTTATGTTTTGTATTTATTCAAATGTTCTTTATATGAATATTTTAGATGTAAAAAAATCAAATTCACAATTTAAATCGGCTGAACCAACTAATGAGTATCTTCGAAAATTTCGTAATTATGAAATCTAATCACCGATATATATAAATTTTTTCCTCGTGTCAGTGTAATAAACGTTGTCCGGTGTTTGTCTGATATTTAAACTAGCATTTTACATATAATTTTTTTTTTGGTGTTTATATTAATATTTAATAAGTAAATATGTTCTGGTTAAGGAGTTTTATTTTAGAAAAATATTTTTTTTCTGATAATGGTGAAAATGAATTTGTCATTGAATAAACAGCATACAAAACAAGCTAACTAAAAAGTAAACGATTGTTTGTTTAATCAAGAAATGCTTCAATTAAAAAAACAAAGCTTTAAAATATTGATTTGATGTTCAAATATTTTGTATAAACTTACAAACTTAACAAGAAACTATTTTTATATATTTAATATTTGAAGTTGATATAAGTAAATTATTTCAAGCAATGGTTTGTATTAAAATTCGATCTTGAAAAATAAACTTTTTTCTCTTGTTAAAATGTTACTGAAGGTTTTTCAATTATGAAAATCAATATTTTTTATGAACTGTATTCATAAGTTTTTGTTGTTCATGTGCATTTATAATTATTCAAACGTTATTTATTTGTATTTGAGGTCATTTATTCGTTTGTCGTTGAAATAAATTTTCTCTGATAATCATCGAATGATTCATATATTTCACCATTTCTCTGATGACATAGCAATTTATCAAATAGCATCTGTTTAGTTGTTGTTTTCTAGAAAAAAAAACCCTCGAATATTTATCGTTTCTTTTCTTCATATCATGGATATATGATATATGTATATTAACCTCGTTAAGTAACCGACCGACAGAGAGAGAGAGAGAGAGAGAGAAACATAGAGAGTGATCAGTATTTTTTTCGTTTCTATATATGATAGACACAATTCAAACTAAAATCAGTTATATCACATATTGTTTTAGTCTAGATTCGAGCACTAACATCATTTTAGTATGATGCAAGAGCTCAAATATATTCATTGTCGAAATAATGATTTCAATGGTAGTATATCTGCCTATAATCGAGATTATTATTCTCATTCAAGAAATGTTTTTAATTATTTATCATATAATAATATTCATCATTATCAGCAACAGCTACAGTTAAAACGTTTGTCAAATCGTATTAGACAACAAATTCATACGAATCAATGTCAACGACAACTTCTTCGTTCACACCGATATTCACAACAAAATCAAGAAAATAACAATCACGACTCAACAAATAAAGTAAAAAAAAAAAAAAGAGTTTTGTTTAATTAGAAACTAAAACACAAAAATAAGTTTGTTAATAGTTTCAGACGAAATGTAATCAAGATCAAAATTGGTTTCATGCTCTATTAAAATGCGTTTCTCCTTCAACATCTACATCTGTAAGTATTGTGATTATTTTTTTTTCTTGTTGTTTAATAGAATTTCAAATAAGATGATTTTTATTTAGTCTACTTCAAATCAAAGTTTATCACCACGTACACATCATTCACAATCAACTTCATTATCCTATAAATCTACTAAGACATCTCCGTTAATTGATTTTTCGTTTAAAACTATATTAAATTCATCATCAAATACTTGTCCATGTCGTATAATATTAGTTGTTGATGGTGCGACAACGAGTCTTAATAATCTTTGTCATATGTTCGAACAATTAAATATTGATTTAATCATGAATAATAACAATACAAAAGTTCAAGTTGAACATGATCTTTGGTGTCTTGGTGGTCTTGATGCTTATACATTTACATTAACTGATTCAAAATCATCAACACTTTCATTATGTATAAATAAATTAAAACAATTTCAATTAACTAAAAATGATCTTTTTTGGTTTACATTTCCACGTGTACAATTAAAAATTGATGAAAATACAATTGATAATGAATTAAATTCATCAATTAAATTCGAGTTTATTGATTCATCACTTAATCCATTTGAAATAAAAGATAATGAAATAGAATTTGATAAAAAAATTTGTTCACTTAATGAAGGTATTTATGTTGAAATGAGTTTTGGTTCATTAGTTTCATTAGGATCATTTCATTGTTTTGAAACGATTAAAAAATTTAATGGAAATATTCGAACATGGAAAATGACATTTTATCAAAATCATTTTGATATTGATTATCAAAAAACCTCATCGGATAATTCACTTGAAGAATATAGAAAAAGAATTAAATCAGAATTTATTGATAATTGTGCAGTTATTAATACATTAAATGATGGGTTTTTAATTTATCTTAATATGAAAGCAAATTGTATTGATTATTATAGTAAGTTCAATTCTTCTACTTTTGTTTTTATAGATTAAAAAGAAACTTTCGATTTAATATTGTTTTTTGTTTTTGTTTTCATAGATCTTGATCGAACAAAACCTGGTTTAGATAATTTTATTCGTGTTGCACCACGAGAACCACGACCATTATGTTCAACATTTCGTCTTTTGATTAAAATGGATAATAATGTTCTTCCAGAAAATTTAACAAGACATTTAAATGAAATAAAAGTTGTATTTTCACATTTTTTATCATTCTTTTCAAGAAATTATATAGCTATTACTTATGGATCTATTCAAACATCTCCTGGTTTAATTCTTCGTCCATTAAAACCACCATTTTCTTCATTTATAAAAAATTATGGTTGGTCAATTCTTATATCACTTGGCTATCGTTTTCATCAACGTGTAACACCATTATTTACAGCTAAAATGTATACTATTGAAGATGATGAAGATTTTTATCATACATGTATACATTTATGGAGACGTACAAAAGAACATTTATTTATTGATTTATATGAAGAATTAATTGATTATTTATCACATCAAGCACGTATACGTGCTGAAGAACGACAAACATTTTTATTAAAAACAACAATAAAACAGCCACCAAGAAATTATCAATATGTACCAAGTGTTACATTAACACCAACAACAATTATTATCAAACCTTTAAAATTATGTAAAACAAATAGAGTTTTACGAGAAAAAAAATTTGGTGGACCATTTAATTTTGCATTAGGTAAAAATAAAATATTTAATTTAAAATATTGATTCTTCTTTTTTTCTTTTATAATTTTATTTCTAGTGGAAATTCGTGAAGAAGATGGTGGTGTTTTATATCCACTTGATTTTCGACAAATACGTTGGAAATTAAAACAATTATTAGTTGATGGTTTCACAATAGTACCAAATCGTCTATATAAATATTTACATCATTCACAATCACAGTTAAAAGAAAAACAATTTTGGTTTTATTATCATCATTTATCAACAAATAATTTTGATGAATGTCAAAATCTGTCGTTTGAAGAAAGTTATTTATGGATGGGCAACTTCGATAGTGAACGTGTTGTTGCTAAACATACAGCTCGTATAGCACAATGTTTTACAAGTACAGAAGAAACAATTCAGGTTTATTGAGAAGAAAACTTTCTTTTCTTTTTCTAGAAAATAAATATATTCGATTTTATTTAGATTCCGGCGGAATATGTAAAATATATTAATGATGTTGAAACAACTGATGGAAAATATAATTTTACAGATGGTTGTGGAACAATGTCGACCATATTACGTGATGAGGTTCATTTTTTCTTTTAGAATCTTAGTATAAAGTATAGATACGAAGAAAATCATACAAAAAAGATCTAAGTTCAGTCTTGAAGTATAAAGATAGAAATTCGAACCCATTCCACTGCTCTACAGGCCGTTACAGACATTGTTGACATATAATCAAAAATGATATATCAATAACGTTTAGTTTCAAATATATGAGATACTTTCTTGTTGCATTTCTGAAGAATTAAGTATAAGGATGGTGCAGAAATGTATGCCAAAATATATATAATAAAACAATCTTTCTGTGATTAGCAACAGTAACTACATCGTCTTTTATATTTTAATTTCATAGAGATTGCGCTAAAAATTTTTTCAAGTAAAATTAATCATCTCTAAAGAATGTTTTCTGTTTTTTGTTTTACAATAAACTGATAAAAAAAACAACTCATGAACAATTGGCTTCGTTTTCTGTAGTAAAGATTTGTTGATTCATTTTTCATCTATTAACGATGACTTTTTATAACTTGAGACACTTTGTTAGTTGCAGCGATCCGTGGGGCTGTCACACGCTTTTGATCATACTTAAGGGTTTCGTACGCTTCGAACCATGAGACAGTGTAACATGCGCCCCATAGAGATTTTCATAACGTTGCATTAATATACACTAGAGTGCTAAACTGTTCTGCGAATTTCTAATATGTTCCTCATCAATTACAGCACTATGGTTCAAGAGAAAAATGCAAAGAAACCAATCTGCTTATACTCAGTCTTGATTCTTGTTTTGGTTCAAGTAATATTGTATTTTCAATAACATAGCTCTTGGTTCATGAGAATTACGTTATATGAACATGTGATAAATTATGAATAGTCGTACTATTAGACATTCTCTTTAGTATTAATTCTATATGTCAATATAATCTTCGTTTGTAGTTTTTATTGAAATCTATTTCTTCGAATTTGAATATAAAATAAATATTATTTTCTTTTCTAAACAGATCCAAAACAAACTTGGCCTTCATTATCCATTCAGTGTAATGCAAATTCGATATGGTGGTTGTAAAGGTGTTCTGTCTGTATGTCCTGAATTGAATGAATGTTCTCAACAACTTGTCTTACGTTATTCAATGCGTAAATTTAGTTCTGAACATGATATTCTTGAATCATGTCGTATATCTGCACCACGTAAAAAAAGTTTTCAAAAAAACAAAACATTTTTCTTATAAAATTTATTTCATTTTTCTTAGGTCCACTTTATTTAAATCGTCAAACAATTGTTTTACTTTCACATCGTCATGTTCATGATGTAATTTTTTTATTATTACAACAAGAACATCATTTATGGTTAATTGAATCATTATTATATCCATCTGTAACATATGATTTTCTTTATGATAAGTTAACACGAAATTTTTTTCCATTACGAGAATTATTTCTTGATGGACAATTAAATTTAGCTGAAGAACCTTTTTTTCGTCAATTAATTGTTACATTTATTCATCATGATTTAATTAAAATGAAAGAAAAATCACGTACACGTATACCTAAACAATCAGCTAGAAATCTTATTGGTGTTGTTGATGAATATGGAGTTTTGGTAAGATAAAAAAAATCAAAAATTATTCTTTTAAAATACAAAATAAAAACAAAAATATCCTTTCTTTTTATTTTTATAATAGGAATATGGTGAAGTATTTGTTCAGTTTAGTAATTTACGTTCTAAAAGTCTTTATCGTCAATATCAATCACAAAATAATTCTCCAAATACGAATGATTTAGATGATCAAATATCAAATGAACATGAATGGACAGAAACAACAATATTAAATAATACTCGTGTTGTTGTAACTAAACATCCATGTCATCATCCAGGTGATATGAGAACATTCAATGCTATTGATAAACTTGAATTAAGACATTTACGTGATTGTATTGTATTTCCTCAAAAAGGTAAAAGACCACATTCAAATGAAATAAGTGGTTCTGATCTTGATGGTGATGAATATGCTGTTTTTTGGCTTGATCTTCTTGTACCAAATACAGAAAATTTTGAACCATATGATTATGATTCTCAACGACCACCTATACCATTATCACGTTCAGTAACACGTGATGATATTGTTGATGTTGTTTTAACAATATCTGAACAAGATTGTTTAGGAAAATTATGTTGTACACATTTAGCTTATGTTGATAAATTAGGTGTACAACATGATGAATGTATTGCTATAGCAGCAGCTATTTCAGAAGAATTAGATGCTGGTAAAACTGGTAAACATCCATTTAATGAACAAAAAATAAAAGAATTAAATACAAAATTAGATTATAAAAGACCAGATTATATTGATAAAGATCAATTTGAACTTTATCCAAGTGAACATGTACTTGGTAAATTATTTCGTTCAATTCTTCGTTCTCAATCAACATGGTCAATTATAAATCATTCAGCTTATCATCCAGAAGAAAAAGATCCATCATATAATATATTATCAACAATTGAACGTGTACCTATTGATGTACATCTTATACATCCAAGTTATCATCGATATACATCATCGGCATTAGATTTATATCGAACCTATCGTGATGATTTATTAAATATAATGTTTGCATATCATTTTGTATCTGATATTGATTTAATTTGTCGTTTTGATTCCCAACAACAACAATGTATGTCAAAACATATTGATGTTGCTGATTCTGCACAAGTTGAATTAAAAGCATTAATGGATAGAATTAAAACTTTATTTTATGCTGAATTTAATGCAAAAGAAGAAACTGAGCGTTTAAGAATGTCAATGAGTGGTATTGGATCTTCAACAATGAATATGAAAAAAGAAGGAGAAATCACTTATTTAGATGAAAAATTAGCTAAAGCTAGTGCATGTTATGTTGTTTGTTATCAATATGAGCAAGCACAACATCCAAAACGAATTCTTTCCTTTCCCTGGTTATTTTCACGTCTTCTACTTCAACTTCGACAACGAAATTTAGCAGTTATGGCTAAAGGTAATTTAAATTTATTAGAAAATAAAATACTTCTTTTAATAGTGATTAATTTATTTAGCAATTGAAAGACCGATAATACAATTACGTGAATATGCAATAGTAGCTCGTGTAATGAAAAATGCACTTATGGGATTAGTTGAACGAAGAGAACTACGATTTTATGTTGAATTTATTGATAATACAGAAGACTTAACAATTATAAATAAAGAAATTATTTTACGATTAGATAATCCAACAACAGGTGTTGAATATGATAGTGTTCATATACATCTTATTGAAATATGTTTTATTGAAATTATTCATAACTGGTCAGTCGAATTTAAAAAAAATATATTTTATTCTAACAAAAAAAAAAATAACGAAATATTTTAGGTTATGTCATCAACGTGTATTCGATACAAATAATAATACTAGTCTATCAATAAAGAAAAAAACGATTATTAATGAACAACATTCCTGGCAACATATATTAACAAAATTTGTTTATGAAACAAATGAAGGAAGTCCATTTGATTGTTCCAATTTAATTATACGACAAGGACAATCATCGGAAAATTATTATTCTTCAATAAAAAATTTCTTATCATATTGGCCATATGATGGCGATGATTATAATCAATGGCCATATGATGAATATATTTCGACAATGTATCATCATTTATTACGTTTAACATCATCATGTTCACAAAATCATTTATTAAATGAAGAAAAATTTGATTTTTGTTATTTACATGAATATTTAATACTTGCTTTGCAAGGTATTGCAGCTGGTATTCAAGGACAACAAGATGGATGGGCTGATTTACAAATCAATGATGATGAACAATAAGCGTTTGTTTTTAGTATTTTTTTCTAAATCTTAAATCCTACTGTTCGTTTCCTTCTGTTTTGTTTCTGCCGATCAATTCATATGTATCTTTGTTATTTTTTGTTCTGTATTGAGGTTTGTTTTAGTGTACTTTAGTGTTGCATTTTATTATTATTTTTTCTTTCTTTCGGACCTTACCGACTGATTCGATTCAATCAAAAGAAAACATTTATTTATTAAGATAAAACATGATATAAGTTAATTGACAACAGTTAATAAGATATTTATTATTGCTTCATTTTTTTTGTTGTAAACTCTATGTCCAACATATGAATCATAGTATGAAAATGTTTGATAAGCTATTACAAAGTATACGTAGATTTTCTTATTGATTTAAGGATTGAACTTTAAAAAAAAACATGACTTTTACGTTCTACACATGTCTCTATTACTTGTTAGCATTTAAATAATTTCTCTGATTTGTAACAAACTCCTCCTCGAAGTAGAGGACATTTGTTTTTCTATTATGTTCAAGTTTATTAGTTTCCCGAAGATTCTTTTATTGTGTCCTATAATTCAAAGAAACTTTGAAGATTTGAAAAGAGATTTTGTTTAGAATTTTTGTAGACATACTCAACAAAGTTCCAATTTTGCAAGAAAATAATTAATTAATAAAGGTCTTCTATTTTGAAAGAGGTTTAATAATGTATTACTTATGACAGAATAGTTCTTGAGAATATGAAGACAATAGTTCTTGAGAGAAAAACTTCACAAAGATTAGAAATTTGACAATGCTGTTTACTCCGATGTTGATAATAAGCCATATTCCTAATTCGTTTGTTGACTATAAACATGCATAAAAAGTAATTACATACTTATTTGTTGCTAAGGACAATCTCTTTTCTTTCATCTATCTTTCTCAAAGATCTTGATAGCATAGATACTATCAAGATGATGGAGAAAGATAGACAATAAACAAAAGAGACCACTCTTAGCAATAAATAAATAAGAATGTGACTACTTTTTATGCCTGTTCGTGGCCAACAAGCAAATTGAGAATATGGCTCATTACTAAGAATATTCCATTGTATATTTACGACTGTCTCATATATTATCAACTAATTATGTTTTAATAGTCCTTTGATTGGCTAAACAGATTTTGATTACTAGAAAAAAAGAATAAAATAAAGAATCAAGAAATTCCAATCAGACATGTTTCATTTCTGTTCGATGGTGTATGAAGTATATTACAAGGATTTTTTCCTGAATAAAGGTATTTCTAATATAATTATGAAATTTTTTAAAGAATTCAATGTCATTTTGCACACATAACTCAATTTCTTGATGTGATCTTCTAACTGTTTCAAGTTTGTGTTATATATGTCTATTGAATGTTTTTTTTACTTGTGAAATACATTCAACTATTAATGTCTCAATCTAGAGTGAATTGAGAAGAGTGAATAATTTTATCTTTTTTTTTATAAACGTTATTATTTTTATAATGAATCAATAGAATTTTCAGAAAGCTATCATTAACTATGAAATAAGCGAATAATCAAACATTTCAGTCTATTGATTTTGATCTCAATCAATATCTCTAACAGTGCACGTTATGATATTGATAACTTTAGACTTCTACTTCTTTTTAATGTTTATCATATGTTATGTGACATTAGTTTGCTTCGTTGCCAAGCCTTCTCATATATATTGGTGAATTTGCAAAATTATTGGACCGTTATATTCTTATATGTAAAATTTCAAAAAGTCGAGTTCTTGTCAAGCAATCTGTATGATTTTTTCGGGTTATGTTCCTCTAAGAAGTCCTCACTACCACACAAAAAACAAACTCACAAATTTATCTCGAACCAGTCTCAATGTATTAGGAGCACAAGGTTAAATAATCCGATTTTGACTGACACCTATTGGAAGAAAATGCCATATAACTGATTAGTTCTCCTTTCATTTAAACTTCAAAAAGATGATAATATTATAGTTAAAACAGTTTGTACTTATCGGATATAAAGTTGATTGATTCTTCCATGACATTTCTTATGACACTTGTTTCTGTATATCATATATACAGTCAATCCTCAAATTACTGTCACGCAAGATTAAAAACGACTTTAACATGTAATGACGCATCTGAAATTGGGCGGGTAGGAGTTAAACAAGACTCAATAAATGAGCAATAAAAGTGGTCAAAGACAATAAGAAAGTTATGCTAGTTTTTGTTAATATAAAATATGAAACAAGTATTAAAAAACTAGTTGTCACACTAAATGTCAAGCGAGATTATTTCCTTTGTTTGATGTATAACTCTTTTAAGATATGGCATATTGAGCTGAAACTTTGACTATTTTATTCACTTGTTGTAGTCAACTATTATTCAAAATATCAGAGTCAGAAAGTTTATCTCTCATACAAAAGAGTAAAAATAGTGTAAAAATGTCACCCGAGACTATTATGTGTATAACTACTTCAGAGCTGAAGTCAAAATAAATACATTATATATCAATTGATTTCATATTTAAAGGGCTATCAAGAGTCATCTGGATTAATACTAGATTGTGTCTCACAAGTTAGTAAATTTACAGGAAAAAGGTCAATAATTATATACATTCTCTAATTGACTGCTACATTTGCAAATTTTATCGCTTTGTAAGTGCAAAAACCAAGTATAATTTATGACAAATCATGCTGTTTCAGACGCTAATTTCATATTAAACATGGTTTCTCATTACAAAGAAAAGGTTAAACGTTAAAATCTACAATACCGTCGAAAAATTCAACTGAGGGATGTACTGTCAAAGTAATATGATTTTGAATTTAAACAGTAATTTTTAAAAATATCTCAGTATCTCGATCAATTTGATAGTGGTAGTTGGGATAATTTATTCGTCTTCTTCTCTCATGTAGTACTATCGAATTCACTGATCACTTTTTTAAAAATCGAAAATTTTTTTTCGTTGATTTTTTTCAGAGAATAATACAATGATTTTGCAATTCACTCATATACATATTAATGCATATATAATTTGATTTACTTAGTTATAATAATAATCAATATTGTCGATTAGATAAATATGTCTCTTATGTTATTATCATTTCCTAGATTTTCCTATTTGTTTCATGATTGGTCAGATCAAACATGACATAATTATCCTTGAAGAATTGTTGTCTTACAAAATCAAGTTGGCGGTTAAGTCAATATAATCTTCTTTCTTTGCTCTTCTTCATTTTTAATCATCACCAATCAAATAACAGACGATAATAAAACTCGAAGCCTATATTTACTATGCATAGTTAATAAAAAAAAAAAGAACGAACATCGTCAAAATTGACATTTAAAAAAAAATCAAACGATACATTCATTCTACCAAAATGTTTCATTGTAATTATTGTCTTCTTATCATATTTCTTTTTAAATTTTGTTTTTCATTTAATAATAATGATCAATGTTTAATTGGTGATACATGTACAAATTCATCTCGTATATCGCCATCAATTTATTCTGATGAACGTTTTATACAATCACGCAATTGTTTTTGTGATTCAGTTTGTGAACAATATGGTGACTGTTGTTATCATACAAAATTATTAACAAATAATTATGAATGTGTAGATTTTCTTTTGCCTACAATAAGAAATCAAATTTTTTTATTTCACAGATTATCTGTTTGGATGCGTACGGAATGTTTATCGATATATACTGGTTCACAAGTTGATGTACAATGTCGAAATTTAAACAATCAAACATTTACTAATAATCCAATATTATTTATTCCAGTAACAAGTTTACAAACAAATATAACATATAGAAATTATTATTGTGCTTATTGTAATAATGATGCAAATGAAAATATAAAATTTTGGGAATATAAATCATTCTGTCATGGAAATAGTACTGATAAAGATTATCTAATTTTAAATAATGATCAACAAGTACAATATTATATTCATAACTTAACAAAAGATTGTTTAAAAACAATTGTTTATCCACATGATCAAGGAAGTGCTCAACCATCAGTTTTTATTCGACCTTGTAAAAAATCTCTTCCTCCAACTTGTCCTTCAGATACATCGATTGATTTAGCTCGAAATTGTTCATCATTTGGTACAGCTTATCGTTATGTAAAAGATTCAAATACTATTTATCAGAATCCTTATTGTGCTAAATGTAATCATATAAATAATAGTGAAGAAATAACATGTTTAGATCCATATATACGTTCATCATGGCCACTAATGACACTTATACGTGTCCATCCACTTTCAATATTATTTGATCCAAATCTTCTTCAACGTTATCTAAATAATAATACAATACCTAATTTTATTTATTCAATTAGTTATAATTGTACAAAATCCAATGAATATTATGATTTATTTGAAAAAAAATGTTCACAAATTACAAATTCAAATCAAGAATTTATTATTTCAATGAAATGTTCATACCCAGTTCAAACATTGATTCAATCAGATGATAAGATTTATTATAATAATGGAAGCATATATCTTGTTAATCATACGATTTTATTGGGAAAAGATGAATATGTTTTTATAAGTAAAAATGTAATTATTTTTTGTGCTGATAGATGGAAAAATTTAGAACCATCATCAATCATTAAACCTTCAATACCATTTTATCGTAATATATTATCTATAATTTGTACTTCAATCTCTCTTGGATGTCTTATTCTATTCAGTATTATTTTCTATTCAATTCCTTCTTTGCATAATTTACCTGGAAAATGTTTATTATTTCTTTCTATGTCATTATTTATTGGTCAATTAACATTTATTTCTACTTCAAATCTAACTAAATATAATTTTGTTTGTTTTCTATCAGCTATAATAATTCATTATTCTTATTTATCTTCATTTTTTTGGTTATTACTTATATCAATTCAAATTCATTCAACATTTAATCATCAAACAATACAGCAAGATAAAATTGGTAAAAATTATTCTCGTTTAATGGCTTATAATATTCTTGTTTGTTGTTCAACTGGTATTATTAT